TGGGGTAGAGAAACATTTCCATGCATATTTCTATCGTGTCGAGAATAGTCATGCATTTAACATGCATAGTTTATTACTAGAATGTTATTATTTGCATCTAAACAAACAACACTTGCAAAACATGTTTAAATGAGATAACACGGATATTTTTTTAGACTTTCAATACATGTTTTTCTTTTAAAAAGCCTTTTTAATGTATATGCTCTGACTCATAATAATGCCTACAACTCCAAATCCGTACGGTAAATTTTGCTTAAATTTTGCATACAGTCGTCCTTTATGTATACCACTAAACAATGTTGTCAATTTTACAGTGTGAACTGGGCGGGCTGGCGGGACAGCGGGATAACTATAATACTTAATTGAATCCACATTAAAAATCACATGATACATTTCCTAGCAGTGTGAAGTGGGCGGGCTGACTCTAAAACTTATAATACATCACATTGAACTGAGCGGGATAGCAGTTTAGCGGTTCAGCATTGTTAACTTGGCGGGCTGGCGGGCCAGTGGGCTAAACTTTAATGCTTAATTGAATCAACATGAAAACGTTATGAAACAGTTTATCCCGCTGACCCGCCACCCCGCTCAGTTCACACTGCTATCCCGCTACACTGTTTGCCCGCCCACTTCACACCGCTAGGAAATGTATCATAATGTTTTCATGTTGATTCAATTAAGTATTAAAGTTTATCCCGCTGGCCCGCCAGCCCGCTCAGTTCACACTGCTAGACCGCTACACTGTTAGCCTGCCCATTTCACACTGTTAGGATATGTATAATAATGTTTTTTTTGTTGAATCAGTCAAGTTTTAGAGTTTATCCCGCTGGTCCGCCAGCCCGCCCAGTTAACACTGCTAGACCGCTAGACTGCTATCCCGCCCAGTTCACACTGTTAACCCGCTAGACTGCTAGATCGCCCAGTTCACACTGTTAGCACGCTAGACTGCTAGCCCGTTACCCCGTGTACTTCACGGCCATCAAAAAATGTCATATCATCTGGATATCCTGAGACCTTATTATTTGTTTGGGTCGTCAGACCAAACAAATAATGGTAGCGAAATTTCAGAGCCTAATGCTGTTAATTGCAAAGGCCTAAAGTAGTCCACTTTTTCTGAAGTGGTTACTTCCTTTTAAATGTACAATAACGCCGAAAAATTCAGGGGAGAGCAATGCGTAAAGATTGTCAAATGACAGGCGCATTAATTTTCAAGCAAAGTAGTTTCCGAATGGTCGTAAATTTCTAATATTGTTTCATTCTTTATAGATATACATGCTTAAAGTAAACTCCATGCTTAATTACATCTTTGTTAAACAACAGGTTTAGCGTCGAAATAATAAGAGTTACAAACCTTAATTTAGAATAATATGGTTTCTCTCAGACCGGTAACATATAAAGTCACCGCGGCCGAGGGGTTTGCGCGCTGGCTTAGGAAGCGATAGCTCTAGAGTTCAAATCCAAATTACAGCTACTCTTTTTTCTTCTTCAAATTGTTTAAGTCAAATAAACATTTGATTGAATATCAGTGTTGCAATCAGTCTTATAGTCAGTCTACTACAATTAAAACGCTGGAAAGCATTGGTGGCACTATACAAAAACAAATTGTTTTATAATCTCACAACCTTCACCTTTCTGACATTCTGAGACCCAAACAAATTCAGCGCCTTCTGTGCTTTGATTATCGTTGTAATAGATTCCCATTCGTGTTTAAATATTAAATTAGTTTTGATAGAGTGTTTACAGTGGCGTATCACGTTTGGGGGGGGGGGGGCAGGATCTGACCCCCAAGCGTCATTGAACACGAATTGGACATCTGCTGCGACGATTCAACTGGAACGTCGCCAAATGACCAATACTGTGTCGGTGTGACGTAAACCCCAAACAAACAAACAAATCAACGAAAACATATTTCTTTACATTAGGTTAGTTTGAATGATACATTATTCATGTTGATAACTATTTTAAAGCTTAAAAACGAAAAGATTTGTTTGATGTGAAAGGTACATTAGGCTATATAACATGAAAAAGCAAACGTACAAAAATGTATTTTCTGATTTACGTTCCTTTTTAACTTTTATCTTTTTGGGAAACAGGGGCCCTGTTTAAGCGTATAGTGTAGAGGTTATTGGCGTCCGCGCCGAAGCGCGGCGCCCCTTTTTGGAATGAAATCAGATTTTGTGAAAGGGCGACAGCAACTTCTCGAGCCTTTTAGTCGGTCATAATAAAAGCCGATCATTCCGATCGGTATGAGGGTGCTTGATTATTATTAATTAAAAATGAAATGTCGCGATATGTACAATGAATAGCGAACTGGAGGATTTCGCAATGCAAACATTTTCAAATGCAATAACCTTTTCCGTCTCTTCGGTTTTTTTATTTATTATTTTGTAGTAAACAGTGGATTATCATGGTAAGTTAAAATAGAATGATGCGTTGATGACCTAAATATTCCGAAAATCTATTTATAGAGGGATGTACTCCTATCGGTAATTCCGGTCTCTCCCGGTCTATTTTGACCGGGATACTAGTGACCACACGTTTATTGTCCGGTCTCTCCCGGTTTTGGAGTAGATGTTTGATATCGTTACAGAACAGAACAAATATTTTACAGATAAATAAGCTTTTTTCCAAAATGAATGTTTATCACTTAGTTAGGTTACAATAATTAATAAACATAGATCAACTCTCAAATTTATTGATTATTATTATACATAAACATACAATTCGAGAAAAAAAAAACCAACAACAACAATAGCATGTTTCATTTTATCTATATGAGATAAAAACAATAAATATGTACAATAATTGTGAAAAAAAGGTCAATTTTATGGTTTTAATATGACACTATCAACTTTGAAAATTTTTATTTAATTTGTTATTCGTGTTTAGTAAAGGCCGAGGAATTATTCAAAGTTACAAATTAGATTTTATGAATTATTCAATTGATTGATAATTTAAAAAATGATAAAGAAAAATACAAATTTTCATGTACATGGTTTAAGAATAAAAAATATTATATATTGAAAGATTAACCATTATTTACTGACTTTTTCCAGTTAAGTTTTGACTTAAAATCGTCGTTATAATATGACAATTGAATTCTTAAAAATTATTTTACAATTTTAATAAAAAAATAGTAGTAAACGTAAAAAGCTCAGTATTAAAATAGCACATAAAAACACAAAAAAAAGAGAGGAAAACAATATTTATAAAATCTGTATTTTTGTTATGAAAATAGATATTACAATTATTGTATAATAAACAATAATGCTCAACATGACATGGTAATATAACCAGTGTCATATTTTTACTAAGTGTGAACAGATACCTTAAGAGGGGGTCTTCGCTAATAGCGATTACTTTATAAGGGACAATTCCACAAGTGTGGTGTTGATCATGCGTTACACATATGGATTATAAATGATTGTATACTTTGCTATTAATACTCACGACCATAAAGAAATAACAAGTAATATTCTAATCTCTAGCATGCCAATCAAAGTTCATAATGAACAATGTCTTCCGTCCGTTCATTCTGGTAAAAACCAATTAACCATTGAAAAGTTTATAAGAATATCTTGACATCATATGTCTACTAGTTCATTTTCACTTTCTGCATTTCTTGCTTGGACGCCCTTTGATGCTTTGCATCAATGCTTTTCTTGTTTAACTTTACATTAACTTAGAATATGATAGCAGAAACAATTTAAGCCAATTAAAGGGGGGTCACCATCCTTGTTCCATGATTAGATTTTTTACTTGTTATTTTTTATGTCATTTTAACATTTCAAAAGTACATACTTTTTACCTCTTATAAACCTTATTTTTACAAATGGCTTGCACTTTTCATTGTATCCTGGTTTAAACTCGATTGTAAAACAAGTGCTTGCAACTTATATTAATTACTTTCGAGTCTGCTTCCTGGAACCAACCAGTGCTGTTGTCATATGAAGAAACGTAGTTGTGCGATCCCATCATCCCTGGGTTGAGAGGTAGACACCTTCACCACTTGGTCTCCCATTTTATCCTTGGTCAAAAATAAAAAAAATCATTGAATTACATTAAACATTTTTGTTCCCTTCATCATGGAGACTGAAAATTCTTTTAAAATGCAATGAAAGCCATTTCTTTCAAGAAAATTGGCATTGCTTTAAGTAAACAAGATTTTTTAAAGTACTCACTACCAAACAAACTACATGAAAATGAGAAATACGTATACGGCATGTCAATTATCTGCCCTTGAAATTCAAGGGCAACTAAGTTTTTTCGCTTAAACTGTTTTTGTTATTTTATCTAAGATCATGCAAATTTAAATAAATTCTAACATGCAGTTTTCATTGTGCTATATATGCCAGCATAATATTACGCTTTTAAAAAGTATTCATTTTTGATTCTATGTTTGAAGATAATAGGAAGTTATGTAGACTATTAAGTCTATTCTACGACTTTTAAAGGGTAGTAGGTATTCTGTTCCTTAACCTATGTTTACCTGTTTTATGTTATATTACGTACAAATACTAGTAAATGTTTAACTGAAGTAATTTTGTAGGATTCTATGGTGTTGAATTTGCTATATTAATATTCATGTAGTATGAAAATTCATTTAAACTAATTGCTAATTATTAGATTGATTTAATCCCTTTCAGCGTAGCTGGAAGGGGATTATATGAATGACCTCCGTCTGTAAGACCGTCTGTCCGTACGTAACACTTTCGTGTCTAATTAAACCACTGATTTTTTTTTAAATTACTTGGCACAAGTGATCACCATAATGAGACGATGTGCAGAGCGAATTTTGATCGATAATCTCACGCATTTACCCTTTATCCCAATATCAGAAATAATTTATGAAATTACCTGAAAAAGACTAAAAACTTTCTATTCAAAGTTCATATTTGAATTATGCATGTAAACAAATCATTACACACGCATTCTGTTATGATTTTTTTGGAGGGAGAATGCTTAATTAGGACAATATTGTACTCTATTATAACAGGTACCCGTTTAACTAGAAGCTCGGTTTACAAAATCGTTGCAAAGCGTGTAATATTCAAAAAGATAGGATGTGTTTAATAGTTTTTATATAAATAAAATGGATCTTACGACTGTTTTCTTACTTATATGTAATATAAACATAATATATGGGCAATTTTCTTACGGTAAGACTTTAAACATTATAATAAAATATTGTTAAATGTTTTGATCTGAGTACAAAAAAGGCAATAAACATATATACAAATTAAAATGGCGAATGCGATTGACGCTTTGTTAATTTATCATTTTTCCGACTATAACAAGAATGTTTAATGTTGTTGAAATTTCGTGTTGATTCAAATCAATATATATTGTCCAGCTGTTTAAGTCAGTATTATTTAGAAACGGTTTAGGTAGGTAAGTTAAATATGATTATATATATATAATTATTAATTAACACATTGCGAACAATAGTCCACACGCTGTAGAAATAGGGTGTTTTGTTTAAAATTTTGCACAAAAACATATTGTACATACAACAATTACTTACATAATATACATGTTCAATGATTAAAAAGGATCAGATTCGACACCATACAATGTTTATAAAGGTCTTTTCTAACATATAATTCATAACTTTAATTTAGAGGATTTTTCATAGTTATATTTGAAATGTTTTAATTTTTAAAGTTAAATATTTTATTGACAAGAATTTAGAAAGATGAAGTAGAGAACTTTAGAGTTATTAAAGGTTCGATAGGAAATCTTGCTATTATATGTATCAATTTTCAACATAAAAATGTTGACCTAGTACAAAGACAGAGATCTAACATTTTGAGATTGTTAGTCGATATATTCATACTAATTCAAATGACTTAGATATATTAGAAAAAAACGATGCAAATGTATTAAAGAAGATATTATTGGGTCTTTATGGTATGTACATGTAAATGGTTTACAAAGGACTATGAAAATTGTTTGCTATCTCGGATATATATTTGAACTGCTAGAATGATAGTGTCGTCATTAACCTCACATAACATGTAAATTATTACTTGAACAATTACTTTTTTTTAAAATCTTAGTACATATTTTCCAAGTTTGATTTTCTAGCAATATTTCGGCTAATCTGCAGGTGTGTAGCTTTAAGATGAGTACAATATATGAGCCGCGTCACGTCAAAACAAACATAGTGCGTTTGCGGCCAGCATAGATCAAGACCAGCCTGCGATTCCGCGCAGTCTGATCCGGATCCATGATATTCGCTATCAGATCATCTACTTGTTATAAGGTTTGTAAGCGAACAGCATGGATCCTGATCAGACTGCGCGGATGCGCAGGCTGATCTGGATCCATGCTTGTCGCAAACCCATTATGTTGGTTTTGTCATGACGCGGCTCAAATATTCAGCTTTATTGTACCCAAATCTAACACTATACTGACTTCAAACAATTGTGATTTTATTTGAATTTTATGGGCTATTATTCTACTTGCTTTTGTGATAACGAACGTTTGATGAAGATAAAGCATTGGTAAATATCATCTCGGATTTTAACAAAATAGAACTTGCGAAGTTTATGCCAACATTATTCTTTTTTTCTTGTTTATTTCAACGTTTCAAAAACGTTACCATAAAAGCTAAAAGTTAGATAGGTAAAATGTTATGAAAGCAGTAATGTGGAAATTTGAAACGTCCTGCTTTAACAAAGAGAATTGTGTTAAATCACGTCAGGTAATGTACATAATAGAGGCTCATGTCTCACAGTTCACATTAAAATAGTGTAATACGACACTAAATACTCCTAAAAAATGACGCTTGAATATTAAATACATACGCTGTGAAAATAGATTACAATGTGTATTTTATAAAAGTTAAAAGATGTTGAGTTACATGTAGTATCAAGAAAGTAAAATTATAAAATATGTATTATACATGTATAATATATCATTGACCTCCCTAATTATGAACAAATTAAATCGAAATAGAATATATGATATAAAGTGACATTACTAAATGTATAATATTGTTTTCTTTAATACGTGTAGATAATGTATAGATTCAATTAGACAATATATAATTTGAAAACAACATTATTGAAAACTAGAAACCAGTACATCAAAATATGCACTATATTACTATATATTGTAAAGCAGCAATATATAAGTCGATTCTGACATTATATGATTCCAGCCTTTCAATATATTGTTATGTAAAATATATAGCAAATCAGCAAAATTTGACAACGAAAATTAATGAGCATAAACTCACTTTGAATTAAGCTGGCGGACATATACGAGGGACATTCGGTTACATTTTTTCTCAGCAACTATTGATGGTTTTACTATTTTCTTTAATCTGCCGTTCAAAATATGCATAACCTATCTAAACACCGTTAAAGACAGTGAAGCAGTTCTCGCACTAGACCTATAAGATACTGATAAACAGCAGATCCGAGGGAGTTTCTAGAAATATATCTCCTTCCAGATAGATGATATTTACGGTGGCACAAAGGTGACATGTGTGTGTTTTCATTTATCTCGTGACCACGAGATACTATGTCGTGGCCACGAGTTACTGCCAGTAGATAGCTAAGACGTGGTCACGAGATACTATGTCGTGGCCACGAGTTACTAAGTCGTGGCCACGAGATAGCTAAGTCGTGGCCACGAGATAAATAACCAATCAGATTACACCATTTATATGAATTTCCCTAATTAACTAGACATGTGTACAAGGATGTCCCTACTTCACCAACCTGTAAAAGTGCCATTTATACTACTTATTGACTGGACAATATTTTTACATTTAGCGTCACTATGACCCTGATTTTTGATCCAATGACCTCGAAATTATAAGATGTCATCTACTGATCAGGAACAATGATCTTCCTGGGTTATATAAACCATGGCCTATCCCTTCTAAATTATTCATCAGACAAAGATTTATCATATAGGCTATCTACTGTCCATGGGCAATGTCCCTTCAAAATAAAATAAACCAGGACTTATTCGTTCTCATGTTATCGTATAATCAAGGTTAACCGGCCGTAATACGTACAAACTGATCAATTCGATTACAAAATTGTCCTTACTAAGAGCTATAGTCCAAATTAATGTCTGATTGGCCTTGGAAGGTGGTTTTCTAATATGATCCTAAAGACAATTTCAAAGTGAATATCTTCAGTATTTTCAAAGATTAATGTTGCATGTTACAAAAGTAAGTTATAAAGTTTAAAAAATTGATAATATATATAAAGTGTTTTCTGATTGGTTAATTATTTCGTGGCCACAACTTAGCTATCTTGTGGCTACGACTTAATAACTCGTGGCCACGACATAGTATCTCGTGGCCACGACTTAGCTATCGCGTGGCCGCGACATAGTAACTCGTGGCCACGACATAGTATCTCGTGGCCACGACTCAACCATCTCATGGCCACGACTTAGTAACTCATGGCCACGACTTAGCTATCTCCTTGCCACGACTTAGTAACTCGTGACCACGACATAGGTTTGCACGCTTTGTGCGAGATAAAACTACACTTGCATTGTTTTTCGCGTCAATTGATACCTTCTACGAGAACGTTCGTTTCATTTATACATGAAATATAGTTTTCTACTTGTTTCCTTCCTCCAGGTTGTCCATCTGGCTGGGAAACGTATCAGTCAAAATGTTACCTATTTCAAGGTTTTGACAAAAGAATTTACGAAGAGGCAGATGCGTCATGCTGGGTAAGTTTTAATAATAATACTTGAAATAAATTACCCAAGTTGCTTCACTAGTTTACGTGAATACCCACACAAACAATAATTTTACAAAATAAAGATGTAATCGAAAACAGGGAAATAGATATGTAATAAACACTGTTTATTATATACTTATAATTGAAATATTGAGAAATAATGAAATAAAACGCGTATTTTCATTGTCTGTATTTTCACTGTAAAACTTTATTTTTCACTCGTTAAAACATATTTTTACGTATTTTCACTGCTATCTTGCCGGACTACTTTCTTCAAAAATTAGCCAATACCCACAACTCTGGGGAAATGTTTCAAATTCTAATGTAAAAAAAATGTATGTAAATGTTATAAACAGGAAAAAAAATCAAGTGTTTTCTATAAGACTCAGGAGGAACTGTTACACGAGGGATGGTATTTCTTATGATAACTTTGCAGGTTTTCTTGTGATAACTGTCACGGCATTCGTCGGAAAACTTTTGTATTGCTACAGAAACACTCCTAAAAATGGTCATTTTCATCTTTGAAAAAAAAAAGAGTTTTAGGTACTAAATTAACTTTAATGGTGTTAAGGTTCTGATGCGCATAAAAACTAGTTGAACCCTACCGGTTTTAACCAGAGGGGACTTCAGGTTTACCCTCTGTCCGTATGATCGGGCATACATCCAGTAGTCTATGAGCTTCTTTCCGTCCATAATTTTAGTTAAAAAAGAAGGAAATCGGTTTGTTGATGTGGAAAAGTGCCATATGAAGATTAAAGCACATAATCCCAAAATGATGGCACATTCGTCCGTCCGCCTATTCGCCTGTCCGCCCACAAAAATGGATCCCGTGATAACTTAAAAAGAACTGAAAATATATTTTTTTTTAAACTTTAAATGTGTGTATATGGCAAAGTAAAGATGATGCACGTCTTTTTCTTCCTATGTTGAAAAAATTCGTTGCTATGACAACAAATAGACTTAAAATATAGCAAATATAACACCAAAACTGGATCCCGTAATAGTAAAAAAGTACTGAAAATAGTTTTATAAAACTTGAAATATGGATAGATTACAGTATGGAGAATATGCACGTCAAGGTTCACAATTTTTTTACATTTCCCTTGTTATTCTATAACGGATTTACTTCAAATTTCAAATATATGTTCATTATTAACACCTTCATCATAGGTGATTAGATGCTCAAGTCGAGCGCCTCGGTTTCCGTGACTATTTTCATTTCGAACATGGAATCTATTTGAAAATTGTTATATATAATTTTTGTATTTTTTTCTTTGTTACTATAAATGGTACATATTTGAAAATTGGTATATTTTTCACTTTTCTTCTTTGTTACTTACTATAAATAGTTTTCTGCTTTAGACTTAAGATAATTGTTCTAAATCACCACTCACATTATGTGTATGATGATGTCCATAATTCTAGCATCTTTATCTAAAGAGTTATCATCACTTCATTGAAAGTCCGTCTGTCTGTCTGGCCCTCCCTAAAAATATTTTTCTGAGATTACTTTGAACGTGTTTTTTTCCTCACAAATTTACTTAAAATAGAGAAAAGTTGAAACATTATAATAATAATAATAAAAATAATAATAATATCTTTATTTAAAGAAGGTTACACATTAAGAACATACAATAACAATTATATATATCTTATTTCCAAAGTGGCCTTCTGAACTAGAAAACAACAACAACAACAACAACAACAACAGGACATGCATAGGTAGAAAAATGAATGTATAATATGTAATTTTTAGAATAATACAACTCATATACTTTCGACAGGCACTCAACAATTTTTGTTTAAACATATATGTATATTGCATCATTTGTTCGTTCGTTCATTCGTTCGTTCATATATTTATTCATTCATTCATTCATTCACTCACTCACTCATTCATTCATATGAACATCAAGATATGCTTTGTATTTTTCTTTAAAACATTTAAGGTTATTAACATTACGAATATTTAAAGGTATATTGTTCCAAATGTTCATGCCATAATAAGAAAATGTGTCTTTAATATAATTTGTTTTAGGTCTTGTCCATAATACAATATCTTTCCGTGACCTAGATCTTAAGTTATATATTTTGTTGTCGGATAAAGTCATCAGTTCTGTCATATACGTCGGTGCCATGTTATTTAAAGTTTTAAAAACAAGCACCGCCGTGTGGTATTTACATCTGTCAAGGAACGGTAACCAATTAAGAGTTTCGAATAGATTTGTTGACGGAGATCTTTGAGGTTGCTGTAAAATGATTTTAGCAATTCGTTTTTGTAACTTACAAACATTATTTATGTAGTTTGTGTTTCCTTTACCCCATATAATACAACAATAGTCCATAATGGGCAATATATATGCATTGTAAAACAATAATTTCATATCAAAGTGCAAAAAATACGATATTTTTTTCAATAAGACAATTTTTCCGTTAAGTTTTTTACAAACATTGTCAATTTGCAAGTGCCATTTTAAGTTGTTATCTATGCAAATACCCAAGACTTTTTGATCAGTTACATTTTCAAGAGCTATTTCATTTATCTTAAGAATTAATTTTCTCATAATATTTACTTTTTGTCTTGTTCCTATTACCATACATTTTTATTTATCTGGATTTAAGGCCATATTTATTTATTTTGCACCATTTGTCAATGTTATTTAAATGATCTTGAAGTTTTATTTCTACTTTTGATATATTTTCTCCGGACATAAAGAGTAGAATCGTCTGCGTATAAATCAATTTTCATATCATTACCAATGAAAGCTATGTCATTTATGTATATTTAGAAATAATAAAGGTCCTAATATTGAGCCTTGTGGAACACCGGAAATTATTTTCATTGTCTGAGATTGTAGATCACCTATCTTAACTAGTTGAATTCTGTTAGAAAGATATGACATAAAAAAACTTAACGGCATTTTCAGAAAAATGATAAAGTTTAAGTTTATGCAAAAGTATTTCATGGGGTCAACCAAATCAAAGGCTTTTTTAAGTCTAAGAATACAGTCCCTATAATTTTTCCACTGTCAACATCTTTTAACCAAGTATCTATTAAACTTATAAGTGCAGTATTACATGAATGATTTTTACGAAATCCTGATTGTCTATTATGAATAATGTTCGTTTTTTCAAAGAATGAGTGTATTTGTTTGGCAATATGGCGCTCAAATATTTTGGATATAGTTGACAAAATTGATATCGGTCGATAGTTATTTGCTTCATTCTTAGTTATGTTTTCCTTGTTTATTGAAGATCTAGAACTCTATTTGCAAAATAACTTCAATTCTGGTATAGATCTTCAAGACATTTGCCTAATTTTACTTTTATTTGCTGATGATATGGTATTAATTGATGAAAATCCTCTAGATCTCCAAAATTCATTAAATAAGCTTCATGAATACTGTAATAAATGGGGATTAGAAGTTAATGTTAACAAAACCAAAATCGTTGTTTTTCGTAAGAGGGGTGGTTTAAGAGCAGGAGAAAACTGGTTATATGGTCAAGATAATATAGAAATCGTAAAATGATTTTAATTATCTAGGTGTCACATTTGAATTATACAGGAAATTTTAACTTAAATACTCAAACTTTGTATGGTAAAAGTTTAAAAAGCCCTAAATAATTTAGTGGCAAATTTGAAAAAATATGAAACAAAACAAAAATAGCCCTACAGTTGTTCGACTCTTTTATTGGTTCTATTTTAATGTATGCAAGTGAAGTATGGGGTTTTCACAAATCAAAAAGTTAGAAAATATTCATTTGAAATTTTGTAAAACTATTCTTGGTGTTAGAAAATCTACTAAGTAACGTAGCTGTGTATGGTGAACTTGGAAGATATCCGTTGTATATAAAAGATATGTCCGAATTGTAAAATTTTGGTTTAAGATAATAAGTTCAAGTAATATTATTATAACTACAATTGTTAACTCATGTATGTCTGATATAAATATAGGGTATACAAACTGGTTTGCATTATGTACGAGTCTTTAGAAAAAATAACGGTTTTTTTTGATGTATGGTTAAACCCTTTAAGCGTTAATCAAAATTGTTTTTATTGTCGTTTTTAAACAGAGATTAATAGATGATATTTACAAGAATGGATAGCTAGTATTAATTGTAATGATGTTATTATTTTTATATAAATCAGTAAAGACATTTTGAAATGTCACCTTATTTAGAAAATATTGTATCAAGAAAACTAAGAATAGCTTTGACAAAACTGCGTATTTCAGCTCATAATCTTAGAATACAGACAGGTAGATATTCACGTGAAAGAGTAGAGCGTAATTTAAGATATTGTTTAATTTGCAATACAAATGAAATTGAGGACGAGTTTCCCATTTTGTGTTTAAGTGTCCTGCATATTGAAAATTTAAGAATATATATTATTAAGAATTATTATAGAAATAGACCAAGTATGTATAAGTTTACTCAATTATTAAAAAGTGATAAAATAAAGAAACAATTATGCTTTGTAAATATATTAATGAAGCTTTTCAAATTAAGATATCAGATTATTAATGCTTAATATGTATTTCAACCTACTTTTTATGTATACCTAACAGATCCAACTAATGAAAGTTTTATTGTGTATACTACTGTGTATGTATAATATCATTATGCTTTAATATTTTGTGTCATCTCTATTTTGTTTTGTCCATCCAATATAATTATTACGTTTACTTTCATGTCATTGTATTTTTCATGTCATTATATATGTATGCTTGTATATATGTTAATCACGAGAAACTTGTAGTTTAAGTGAAATAAACGTTCTTCTTCTTCTTCTTCTTCTTCTTCTTATTCCCCGATTTAAAAATAGGTATAACTCGAGCTCTTTTTAAATCATCTGGGAAAATATTAGATTTAATACTATTATTGATAATTGATGCAATTATTGGTGTAATATATTCTCCACAATATTTGATGATGTTTGGTCCAATTCCATCTAATCCTGTAGATTTTTTAATATTCAGTTTTTCAATA